GGTGAGGGTGTGCCATTTGTAGTATCCCTTCCCTCAGGGCTGCTGGATCCTCTTTTGGAGGAAAAGCATCCCTGGGTTGCCAGGTTGCGAACAAATGTTCTCCTATATTTACCAAACATACACGGAGAGGCACAATTCTAAATCTCCAGCAGTAGTTCTCAATCCAGCTTCATGTTGATCACTGCCTGTTCCAAAAAGCTTTTTTTTTTTTTTTTTTTTTTTTTGAGACAGAGTATTGCCAGGCTGGAGTGCAGTGGTGTGATCTCGGCTCACTGGAACCTCCACCTCCCGGGTTCAAGTGATTCTCCTGTCACAGCCACCTGAGTAGCTGGGACTACAGGCACACACCACTGTGCCCAGCTAATTTTTGTATTTTTAGTGGACTTAGGGTTTCACCACGTTGGCCAGGATGGTCTCGAACTCTTGACCTCATGATCCGCCGCCTCGGCCTCCCAAAGTGCTGGGATTACAGGCGTGAGCCACTGCGCCCAGCCCCAAAGAGCTTTCTAGGCCCCCACCCCCACAGACTCCGATTCAGAAGGTCTGGGTTGGGTTTGGGCAATCAGTTATTTTTAATAAAACCTACAAAGTGATTCCAGCAAACTTTCAGAACCGCTGTCCTGTGGTTTCTGCAATGCCATTACCTGTTTCCTGAGTTCCCTGGACATCTCATAACCTATAAAATTTTTTGATACTGAGATGTCTCAAATGTGGGAAGGAGATAATATTAATATTTATTAATAAGAATTAGCTGGAGTCCTCAGAAGCACAGGAAGGAGCTGGAGTGCAATCAACGGGTGATTAGAGGACAGAGGACACAGGACATTAGTCATGAGGGGATGGCATGTGGGCGTCGTCAGGAATTATCTACTCCCACATTTAATTAGCCATAAGTATTTCTCAACTCTCCTTTAGGGGCATTTGAAGCCCACCCCAGATGAAGTATAACCAGCCCTTTACAGCTCAACAACCCCCCCTGCCCACACTCCCAGTTTGAGCATTTCTGGTTGACATTTACTGCATAAAAACTTATCCTTGACAGCTCTCTATATAATCTACATAGCACAAACAGAGGCCAACGAAAAAATTTTTAAAGTGAGCTCTGTACATATTCTACATGTTATAAAATGAGAAGCAAGCAAACAAATTTTTAAAAACAGAGGGGTTAATAAAACATTAATTGAATCAGGACACATCAAAGTAGCACTATAGACACTTTTTTTTTAATGACAACAGATGGTAAATTTGTACAAATTACAGGCTACAATATAGTGAATACAAAATCCATCCAGATAATGGTTAGAAAAGCATCACTTAACAGAAGTAAATCGGATTCAAGTAGCTAAAGAACTCAAGCCCCCCATTTTGATGATTATACACGGCTTGAAATGCAGCACATCTAAATCCTCCCCCTAGTCAGGGCACTATTCAATACTACAGCATATTCAATGACTCTAGTGATTTAAAGATTCTAACACTTTTAGCATCGACGTCAAGAGACATCTCGTAACAGGTTCACTATGCAAAACTCAAATGAGAATGTGTGAACGTTCTTTGCAAACTGTAAGGTGCTGTGCAGATGTTGTTAGCTATTGCTATTATTACTGTTCAGTGAGATTACACTGAACGTGGGAAAAAGGAAGACTACTCTGTATAACTGACAAATATGACTTATAGAACATCTTAAAAGGAATGCAGATATTACTTTCAAATACACATAGCAACAACACAGGCAAGTAAAGTGTGGCCAGGAGTGATGTCGAGGAATTCCTATTTTAAGGAATATAAAAAGGATTAAGCTATTCATAGATTATGTGTAATACTTATCATTAGATTCCCAAAGTCCCTGAAAATAATTTATTTTTAAGGTGACCCTTTCCCCCTGAAAAGGGAAAAAGAAATCTTGTCAGGTTACTAATGTGCTGCTTTACCAGCTCTTGTAAAAATTATCTTAAACACAGGAGTAGAGTCTGAATTAATAGTTATACTAATCTGGTGGGTGACACAGAGTGCTTGACAGCAGAGAAACCTGCCACTTATCTCAGACAAGTGACAAATTCTGTGTCAGAGTTGAACCATAAGTTTACAACTTCACTTGGGCATAAACAATAAAAATGAACTTGTCTAGAGATAAGAAATACACACGAGGTACATCTGAAATGCGATTTAAATCCTTTTTATGTACTTTTGGGTTTCATCTTTCTTTGGATATACCCTATTTAACTGATTTTAGTGGTCTCCTTGGGTATTCTAACTGTATACATAAAATTGACATGAAAATGGAAAACAAACGCCAAACAAGTCAATTGGTTGTTTCTTTTGGCAAAGCTGATGACATTTTCATGATGAAAATGTTCTAATTATTAGGCCAGGCACGGTGGCTCATACCTGTAATCCCAGTACTTTGCGAGGCAGAGGCAGGTGGATCACCTGAGGTCAGGAGTTCGAGACTAGCTTGCTAACATGGCGAAACCCCATCTCTATTAAAAATACAAAAATTAGCTGGGTGTGGTGGCACGTACCTGTCATCCGAGGTACTCAGGAGACTGAGGCAGGAGAATTGCTTGAACCCAGGAGGTGGAGGTTGCAGTGAGCTGAGATTGCACACTTGCACTTCAGCCTGGGCATGAAAAGCAAAACTCTGTCTCAAAAAAAAAAAAAAAAAAAAAAAAAAGAGAGAGAGAGAAAAGAAAATGTTCTAATTATTACAATGTATTTCTGTTAGATTTCCATGAAACATGGGGTTTAATGGCAGGTTTCAATTTTTTTCCACTAACAACCCCAAACCAAATTCTACTGTTATATGTACAATGGTACCCATTTGAAGAACTAATGACATCAGATGCATTCTACAGCAGACTTTTCACTTCTCAACACAACTGAGAAAAAGGACTACATTCTCCAGGGCAAAACAGGAGGTGAGAAAGGTAATGTGTTACCGTAAATCGGGTTAAATCAGTAGTTTGGACTGGCATTTCAAGTTATATAATTGAGGTTATTCTTACAATCAGTTTTCAAACAATAGGGAACATATTTCTACCTTAAAACATGTATAAGGGCTCAACTGTAGCTTTCCTTTCTATATATCTTGAAGTATATACATTGTGTAAAAGGAAACTAGTGAGACCTTTTGAAAAGTAAATCTATTTGTCAAATACCATATGTTATTTAACATAGTCAAAAACAGCAGCGAACTAGTGAGTTAACAGTTAAAACTCTAGGAATAAACTAACTGCTTTGAAAACAAGCCTGTTTTATTATAATCCTAAATATCAACCCTAGCATTCGATTTTAACCTTCAAACATTTGGCGCTTTTTCCAAGAGGAAATTACAACTGCCTCTGCATGTGCCCCTGGTTTAAATACTTGCAGAAAAATACCCATATATAATTACCTATTCAGCAAATGCCTGAAACCAAACATAATAATCCAACACTGGACAGTAACATTTTACAAACAGCATAAGATCCCAAAAGCACAAGAAAAACCTTGGCATTATATAAAAAGAAATTAGGTGGACCATTCTAAATACAACAATACATTTTAATTAGGGACCATCTAGAAATCTACCACACACTACCCTAGACTCAAATGTCATTATACTAAAATTGTAGTCTTTAAGCAAGAATTAAACAGTTCCATAATAATCATAGCAACCTTCCACTTTTCTCAACAGTTAAACACGAATGCCTATTTGATTTTTATGACTAATCATCCCTCTATTCCTTTAGTCCAGTTTCACAACACAAAAAATAATAAATGTGAACAACAAATTGGTAATGGTTTCACATGCTTAAGCAAGAATCCTAAGTATTAGGATTATCAGTAACAGAAAATTTGAATTTTAAGAGAATAAAGATAGAATGTGCTTATTTAGAAAATGGCCAATAAGGCCAAGTGCGGTGGCTGACGCCTGTAATCCCAGCACTTTGGGAGGTCGAGGCGGGTAGATCACCGGAGGTCATGAGTTCAAGATCATCATAGGGAATTTTGATTTTTTTTCCTGTTTGAATATGTATTTTTCCAGTTTTCTACAAAGAACATATATTATGATTTTATAATTAAAAAACAAACATTTGGGGGAGTGTTTTTAGATTACACACAATTAGTACCAAATAACTAGAAAGAACACAGACTAAAGATACGAAAATAAAATCAAGGTTTTTTTCCATCAGATAAGCCCAAGGAGAATACTTTTTGGGTGAAAAAAAGATGCTTTCAAGATTGTTTCCACTCCTAACATATGCAAAAATGAACATATTTAAATGCAAATTCCTATCATATACACTACAATTTTTAAAAATAGTAGAAAAAACAATTTTAAATGGAGCCTCCTCGAACCTTTTAATTGAAGCCTAGCTTCAATGTTGAATGAGGAAGCAAAGTATCTCATTAAAAAGTTGGTCTGCAAAGCACAAAGTTGGCCTGCAAGGGGACTTGAAGGAAGCAGGCTGAGTGTTTGAGTAGTGAGATCTTTGCTTTGCTCTTTTGATCCTTCAGTAAGCTAAAGTCCTTTTACCTGAATGGATGTAATTTAGCCTAGTTTTCCCATAAAATAATGTAATGGAAAATTCCTATTGACTAGGGATTACACTTCATGTGAAATTCCTTAGTGACATTCAGATTAATTCCAGTGTCCACAATTTAAGCAACTTTCCATAGGAAATTAAAATCCCAAATCCAAGGACCTGGTATTTTCATGCTAAGGAAAGCATTCCAACGTAAAGTGGAGTTTAATTTGCTTCACTGTGTGCCTCTTAATATATCCAAAGGAGTAAAAGTCAAAAGCAACCGTAAGTCAGAATACTATAAAACACGTTTTGTTGAAAGAAGATAAAATTCCTTCCAGAATATAGTGTAATTAACATATTTATTTGTAACTAATTTAACTTTTCCAAATTCTCATTTGCAAATCAGATTCATACAGTTAAAACTGAATATACAAACCAACACATTAGAAGGATCAAAATTTACACTACTCAAACGTGACTCCTTAAGCCTGACTTTAACATGTTCTTTCAACTTTATTCAAATCAGATGTCCCCCCTCCAGCATTTATCATTTTAAAAAATGAATTTAATGCTATCAAAAGGTGATGTTCACTTTAATCCTGTTTGCCTTCACGCCACTGTCGTGAGCCTTCGTTCCAGGCCACATACACAAAGAGGGCCAGGACCACATGGACGGCGACCACTGCAACAATAGCAGCGTAAAAATAGCTGTCCCTATTGGACATCCCAAGGGCGCCTATCAAGAGAAAAAAAAACAGTTTCCATTTTATTGCAAAATTTACCAAAGTACAAAAAAAAACCAAATCATCCTAATTTTTATGATATATTTATTTAACTAGTCAGGCAATTAAAAAGTAATACTTTGGGTGGTAATGAATAAAGTATTCACTAAAAGATATGAGTACCTTCTATATATTAAGAACATTATTTTAAACAAAACCATAATTATAAAGACTTCAGGCCGGGCATGGTGGCTCACACCTGTAATCCCAACACTCTGGGAGGCCAAGGTGGGTGGATCACCTGAGGTCAGGAGTTTGAGACCAGCCTGGCCAACATGGTGAAATCCCGTCTCTACTAAAAATATCAAAAATTAGTCGGGTGTAGTGGCAGGTGCTTGTAATCCCAGGTACTCAGGAGGCTGAGACAGGAGAATCGCTTGAACATGGGAGGTGGAAGTTGCGGTGAGCCGAGATTGCACCATTGCACTCCAGCCTATGCAACAAGAGTGAAACTCTGTCTTGAAAAAAAAAAAAAAAAAAAAAAGACTTCAACATCAAAAAGGGGACTTCATTCTCTCTTCCTTCCATTATCTGACACTAGAAGTCCATTCCCCCAAATTCTTCCTCCCATGTCAGCCAATTCCTATTCTTTAAAGGGCACTAAGAGAAAGGATTTGCAAGCTATTTCACAGAAAACCATAAGAAAACTGTCAAGCTGAAATAACAAGTTATTTCATAAAGACTCATTATGAGCAATATGATTTTTTGAAAGGCTAAACAAGAAAAAAAAATAAGAATACCCAGTTTACAGATATAAAGAGGTCATAAAAGCACAGATTCTTAAATCAGGGGAAAATGTCTTGTTTTAATGGGTCTAAGATTACCTTCAAATATATAAGATTTAGTTGTGAAATATAACCCAATAGGAACAGTGATCATTAAAGCTGTGAAGAACAGGAGCGTCTTCAGTGTAGATGCTAATGAGCTTTCATTTCTGGAATAAAGTAAACAAAGAGAAAATCAGAACCTGCATAGCCATATCCAAACACTCTTATGTCCCTAAAACTATAAACATCCACAAATGAGATGCTATATAGGAGGAAGATCACAGGCAGAGACTCGTAATCCGAAGATCCTAGAGAACCAGCTGTGGGTAGTGGGAATTTCTTGAGCTGGAACATGAAGATTATACACCACCTTCAGGGACTGTCATTCATATCCAGTGTGAGACAAAGCATCAGGGCGCCTCAGATCAACTGCCAACAAGCTGGGTGAACAAACTAAGTGAAGAAACTCAGTGCCCCTGCCTCTGGAACTGGAGCTTCTACCCAGGGAAGCCACGGTGGACAGTGGCACCAGTGCCCGACCCATGCGGCAAGCGTGTCCACCAGCACCAGACACCAGACCTGGGAATGCAGTAAGCACCATGGGTGGATCAGCACGCCCTCTCTTGCTGGAATCGGAGCTTCCGTCAGGAGAAGCCACCAGTTTGCTGTCCTCCAGCATGAAACAGTAGACCAGGGAACTAAGGAGGCAGACACACCTGTGTGCCCTCCCGCACTGGAATCAGGGCTTTTGCCCAGGGAAGCCACTGTCACACTGGTCCCTGAGCCCATGCAGCAACCCTGACCACCAGCACCAGACACCAGACCAGGGAACTCGGCAGGCACCACGGGTGGATCAGTGGACCAGCAAACTAACCAGGTGGAGCTGATGCACCAGCATGCCCTGCCCCACTGGAATCGGAGCTTTGGCCCAGGGAAGCCACTGCCACACCAGTCCCTGAGTCCATGCAGCAACCCTGACCACCAGCACCAGACACCAGACCACAGAAGGAGGTAGGCAGAGCGAATGGAACAGTGCGCCCTCCCCAGCTGGAATAGGAACTTCTGTTATGGGTGAAAAATCGAGCTAGAGGGAATACTTGCAAACATGTTTTAAGAGACTCGAATCACCTTGATACCTAAGCCAGACAGACACAGCAAGAAAACTACAGGACATCATCATTGATGAACACTGGTGCAAAATTCCTCAATAACATATTTTCAAACCAAATTCAACAATAATCAGGCCAGGTGTGGTGGCTCACACCTGTAATCCCAGCACTTTGGGAGGCCAAGGCAGGCGGATCACTTGAGGCCAGGAGTTCGAGATCAACCTGGCCAACACGGCAAAACCCAGTCTCTACTAAATATACAAAAATTAGCTGCGCGTGGTGGCATGTGCCTATAGTCCCAGCTACTTGGGAGGCCGAGGCACGAGAATCCCTTGAACCTGGGAGGCAGAGGTTGCAATGAGCCAAAACCACACTCCAGTCTGGGCAACAGAGCAAGACTCTGTAACAAACAAGCAAACACAACCAATACAACATCCTGGCTAACATGGTGAAACCCCATCTGTACTAAAAATACAAAAAATTAGCTGGGTGTGGTGGCAGGCGCCTGTAGTCCCAGCTACTCGGGAGGCTGAGGCAGAAGAATGGCATGAACCCGGGAGGCAGAGCTTGCAGTAAGCCGAGATCACGCCACTGCACACCAGCCTGGGCAATACAGCGAGACTCCGTCTCAAAAAATAAAAAAATAAATAAATAATAAAAAATAAAAATAAAACCAATACATCAAAAAGATTATATATTATGACCAAGTAGGATCATCTCAGTTGATGCAGAAAGAGCACTTGACAAACTTCCGCATCCTTTTTACTGAGCTGAAAAACAAATCAAGAAAACAATCTCATTTATAATAGCATTAAAAAAAATACTTAGGGGCCAGGCTCAGTGGCTCATGCCTGTAATCCCAGCACTCTGGGAAGGCTGAGGCTTGAGGCCAGGAATTTGACACAAGCCTAGGTAACATAGCAAAAACCTACCTCTACAAAAAAAATTTTTGATAATTCGCTGGGCGTGGTGGCACGTGCCTGTAATCTCAGCTACTCAAGAGGCTGAAGTGGGAGGACTGTTTGAGCCCCAGAGTTCAAGGCTGCAGTGAGCAGTGATTGGGGCACTTTACTCCGGCCTGGGTGACAGCAAGACTCTATTTAAAAAAAAAAAAAAAGAAACAAACAAACAAACTTAGGAATAAATTTAACCAAGGAGATGAGCGACTTGTACACTGAAAAGTATAAAACACTGATGAAAGAAATTGAAGATGACACAAATAAATGTAAAGATATCCTGTGTTCATGGATTGGAAGAATTAATACTGCTGAAATGTCCACAGTACCCAAAGCAACATACAGATATAACATAATCTCTATCAAAATTCCAGTAGCATTCTTCATTAAAATAGAAAAACAATCCTAAAATTCATCATACAGAACCACAAAAAGCCCCAAATAGCCAAAGCAACACTGAAAAAGTTGTAAGCGTCACACTTTCTGATTTAAAATATTACAGTTATACTAATCAAAACAATATGGTATTGGCATAAAAACAGAAACATATAACAATGAAACAGAATAGAGCCCAGAAATAAATCCAAACATATATGGCCAACTAATCTTCGACAGCGGTGTTAAGAGGAACACAATGGGGAAAGGATAATCTCTTCAATAAATGGTACTGGGAAAACAGGATTTCTATATGCAAAGAACAAAACTGGACTCTTAAACCATAAACAAAAATCAACTCAAAATGGATAAAATAACTAAAACACAAAGATATAAAGTTTTAAGACATAAAAGAACACAGAGCGAAAGGTTCCTTAACATTGGCCTCGGAAATGATTTTTTGGATATCACGCCAAAAGCTCAGGCTACAAAAGAAAAAATAAATAAAGGGGCTTGCATCAAACTAAAAAGCTTCTGTACCACAAAGGAAACAATCAACAAAATGAAAAGGTAGCTTACAGACTAGGAAAACATATTTGCAAACCACCTATCTGAAAAGGGGTTAATATCCCAAAATTTATAAAGAACTCTTACAACTCAGCAGAAAAACCACCTGATTAAAATATAGACAACAGCTGGACAGACATTTCTCCAAATACATAAAAATGGCCAAGAGATAAACAAAAATGTGCTCAACATCACTAAATCATCAGGGAAATGCAAATCAACACCACTATGAGATATAACCTCACACTTCTAAGGACAGCTATTATCAAAAAAGCAAGTGATAACAAATGTTTGTAAAAGTGTGGAGAAAAAGAAACCCTAGTACATTATGATGGAAATGCAGATTGGTATAATCATTATGGAAAACAGTTCCTAAAGAAATTAAAAATAGAACTACCACACAGCCCCGTAATCTATCTTCTGGAATATAACCAAAGGAGATGAAATCACGACCTCATAAAAATATCTGCACTTCCATGTTCACTGCAGCATTATTCACAATAGCCAAGATTTGAAAACAACCTAAGTGTATGTAGACAGACAAAATAAAGAAACAGTAATGTATATATACAAGGGAATATTTTATTCAGCCTTAAAAAAGGACATCTACCATTTGCCACAACATGCATGGACCTGGAAGACATTATTTTAAGTAAAATAAGCCAAACACAGAAAGACAAATACTACATGATGGCTCTGATTATCGGAATCCCTAAAAAAAAAAAAAAAAAAAAAAAGTCAACTACACAGGGACAGAGAATAAAACAGTAGTTACTATGGGGGTGGGGGTGGGAGGCTGGAGGGGAGGAAATAGGGAGATGTACATCAAAGGACACAAAGCAGTAGATATATGGATTAACAAGCCTAGATATCTAATGTACAAGAGGACTATAGGCAATAAAGTTGCATGGTATTAGGGACTTTCGTAAATAAGATTTTAGCTGCCTCTGGTCACACACACACAAAAGTATGTGAGATGACAGATATACTAATCTGCTTCACCACAGTAATCATTTTACTATATGTATGCCATAACATCATGTTGTGAACCTCAAATACACACAATGAAATTTATTTAAAAATAACCTGAACAAAAGACCCACAAAAACATTGAGTAAAATATATATTAAATATAACCTCATGCCTATTTCTTGATCACATGCTCTGCACATGTGTGAGAAATTAAATGTTTATTGCTGTTAAAAAAAAAGTTCTAATATTTTATTTTGGTACTTAAATGGATCATCTTTTAACAGGCCTCATTTTGATTACTGAGCTATACAACTCTCATTTAATATACATAAGCTCCCTTAAACTGTTTCCTACTAGTAAATATTTAGGGGAATTTATTGTGTAATCCTCATGAAGAATATGAGTGTCTGCAGTGCAGAATCTACAAAAAATACAAAGAGTCACTAATTGGCCAATTATTTTGTGGACCCTAAAAAAAGCACTTGACTTTGGTGTTTCTATGGTGAGTAAAGAAGTATGTTTTAGGAATCCAACTTTCAGATTATCTAACTTGTTAAAGGAAAAGAAAGGAAGTGTTAACTGATTGTTTTGTTCTTTACATGACCTCTCTTGAGTATCTATTATCTGGTCTGGCTTTTACAAAGTTTATTATTGAAAAGATGATGTAACACCATAAAAATGTTTTAAAATAAACAAAATCACTTATAATCCCACCACCCAAATATAACCTTTCTACATGTTAATTTCTAGCCCCCACACAATCTATACACAGCATACCTTAATAATTTATAGTTAATTCCTTCTCACTTCTCTCTTTACCTCAAACTTCAAAAATGTGACTACTTTTCTGTGTTGTGACCTCACTAATATGGGACTAAGCATTAAGCCAAAATGTACATACAAACTTTTGAAAACTAGCAAACTTCCTCTACTGTTTATAGGACATTTTCTCCTTGGCTTCCAGCCACAAGAGCTGTTGGTTTTGCTGACACAAGCCACCTTGGGTAAAATCAGTGGCTTATTCCAAGACAAAGCAACTAATGCTATTCAACTGCTTTATCCTATGTATCTTTGGGTGTTACTGAGCAGAGATTTGTTGGAAATGAGGAATGAGAAAGGCTGGAATTAAAGTTGTCCCCACACAAAGGAAAAAGTTCAGGATGAACCTTACTCTGCCTCCATTTATAACACCACCTAGTTTTCCCACTTCATACAAACTTCTGCAGCTAACATTGAGCAGACAGAGCCTACCACATTCCCTTCTGTAGCAAGTAACACAACAGGAATTCTTTCTTCCACAGCCAAAATTTCACTGCAAATTCCATTAGGAAACCAGAATCAGTCTAGAAGGACTATGCTCTAAGTGTATCTAATAAAAATATGTTGGTATTCTCATAAATGAATAATTTTTAAAAATCCCACACTGAGGCTGGATAAAGAAAATGTGGTACATATACACCATGGAACACTATGCAGCCATAAAAAAGAAGGAGATCATGTCCTTTGCAGCAACATGACTGGAGCTGGAGGCCATTATCCTAAGCAAATTAAGAAAGGAAAAGAAAACCAAATACTGCATGTTCTCATAAATGGGAACTAAACAACAAGAACAGATGGACACTAGGAGAGGAACAACAGACACTGGGGCCTACTTGAGAGTGCAGGCTGGGAGGAGAGAGAGGATCAGAAAAAATGCCTATCGCGTACTAGGCTTATTACCTGGGTGACAAAATTACCTGTACACCAAGCCCCCGTGACATGCAGTTTCCCTATATAAACCTGCGCATGTACTCATGAACCTAAAATAAAAGTTAAAAAAAAAAAAAAAAAACCCCACAATGACCCTGTCGGAAAGAGAAAGCATCACAGCGCTCCAAAGATCGTGGGCTTTGGAGTCAGTGAGCTTGAGCTTGCTCAAACGTTAGCTTCAATTACTAACTTTGTCGCCTAATTCTGTAATCACTCATCCTCAGTTTCAAGTCACTTACCCTCAACTGCATCCTCTTCAAAATTGGGAAATCAAGCAGTCAGATAAATTAAGAATTCAGATAATGTATCTAAAGCACGTGAAATGAGCCTGGTATACAGTAGGTCTTAACGAATGGTAGCTAACTCTCTCACCACTACCTTGCCTACTGAGGTGGGCCAGAACCACCTGCTCTCTCATACATTCCTTCAACTCAGCCACCAGCCTCTATCTTACTGATTCCCCAAGTGAAGCAGTCCCACGACAGGGGGACTACTGTATACCTTATATACTGTATACCCCTCTACTCCTTCATTCATACGGCAAACATTTATTAAGCCCCGACTACGCAGGCCCCCTAGGGAACACGGAGATGAAGGAGACCGCGTTCCTGTCTCAGAAGGCTGACCCTGCAGTAATGAAAGACACTGCAATATAGACGATAGCGAGAGGAAGTGCTAGGATAGAAGCATGAGCTGAAGGCCTACTGACCTATTCCCCATGACCCCGGATCCCTTGTTCCAGAGCGAAAGGTCGGGGCCGGGCGTTTAGACATCTCAGGCCCCACCTGCTTTCCCCGCCCTGCGACCAGGTCCCCGGAGTCCAGGTCCCCGGAGTCCAGACCTCACGCCCACCCATTCAGCTAGAGCCTTCCCTCAGGCCCTGCTCCAGGCTGCAGCCAGTCCGCCTCGCGGTCCAGGCCCCGCTCAGGGCTACCTGAACTCAGGAGGCTGCAGTGCGTTCAGCGCCGCTTTATCTGGGCGCTCCATGGTGTAGCTGTGCCGGCACAGGCGCTCGGCGGTGGAACTGGGCTCGGCGGCCGCGCTCAGTAAGCTCCGCAGTCCAGGCGGTTCGCACCGGAAGTAGTGGTTCGCGCCGGAAGTGCCGGTTCGCGCCGGAAGTGCCGGTTCGCGCCGGAAGTGCCGGTTCGCGCCGGGCGGCGGGCCACAGTGCGCAGGCGCGGCGCGGCGACGCAGAGCTGTGGCAGGCGCGGGCGCGGGCGCGAGCGCCGGATACTGGGCGGGCGCTCACATGACTTACCGGCGGTGGCTCCGCGGCGTGCGCCCTGCCAGGAGGGGCCTGTGCTCGAGGAGCAGGCCTGGCGAGTAGCCCAGCCACTCCACGTTGAGCCGGGACTTGCCGCGCAGCATGGTCCTCCTGGGCGGGCGGCGGCTACGCCGCCCCCTGAGCTCGGGCGAACACTTGTCCTCGTCTGCGTCCCGGTCGCCGAGCTGGGGGCGGCAAGGAGACCCAAGCAGATGAGCCGCGAGGAGGGACTACCAGCCAGAGAGCTGTGGTGCTAGGCAACTGAGCGTATTCCGCCGACGACAACACAAAAAAGCAATGCGCATTATTTCGCCACTACTTGAGCAAATAAGTGCCTCATTAATTACTGCCCACAGTGGTAGGAAGTCCAGCCCTTGGCAGCTGGGAGGAGTTAAACACTCACCCGAGTCCGTAAAACTAGAGAATGTCAGAGTTCAAAGAGCTCTTGCTGAGAGTGACTGTTCCAGACTTGATGCCAGTGACCCCCAACTTCCACTTAAAAGTTAAAAACATATTTTGCAGCTGCTCAGAAAGCCGCCAATGAGACAACAGGGACTCAAATAGTAAGAACAGATGGGCCTCCCGGGCCTGCGCAACCCGAGAGAGGTGAAAACGAAAGGGTGGGTAAGCCTGAAGTCAGGCTTGACAAAATTAGGTTGCCACTGGCTGCTAATAAGAGGACAGCCCTTACATGGTCAGCGCCTGGAAAGGGCCGCTGACCACACAGCTATTTTCTGCACCACATGGATACAAAGACCACATCTGAAATCATGACTAAACCAGCAGCTTAGAGTGGTGGAAAGGGCAATGGACTGGGCAGCAGGAAGTCCGGGTTTTAGTTCAAACTGAATAATCCCCCTCTAGGGCTGAGTGTGCTGGCTCACGCCTGTAATCCCAACGCTTTGGGAAGCTGAGGCAGGAGGATTGCGTGAGGCCGGTAGTTCCAGAGCAGCTTGGGCAGCATAGCAAGACTCCCGTCTCCAAAAAAAAAAACTGTAAAATATTTAATAAAAATAATAGTAATCTCTCTCTGGGCCTCATCTAGACCTTTAGGTGAATAAGAACCACCTAATGTAAGAACTTGGGGTACAAATAGAATCTAGCTCTAGGGTAGGCAAACTGAGCCAGCAGACCCAATACATGGAGCCTACCACCTGTTTTTCTACAGCCCTGAGGTAAGAATGGCTTTTCCATTTTTAAATTGTTGAAAAAGTCAAAAGAATAACATGACACGTGAAATTTATATGAAATTCAAATTTCAGCATCTATTGATAAAATTTTATTGGAGCTCAGCCATTCTCATTTGTTTGTATTGCCTACAACAGCAATGTTGAGTAGTTGTGACAGAGATGGTATGATCTGCAATGCCCAAAGTGATCTGCAATACCCAAAATTCTCACCATCTGATCCTTTTATAGAAGAGTTTGCTGACCCCTGCTCTAGCTAATCAGCCTGCAGTGAGGTCCTAGGGACCCATAAATGTAGTAATCGTGGTTCTGAAGGCAGTTTTTAATATTTTTAAAAACCTAATGAATCTATTTACTTTCTATAAGGCATCCAAAGCTACTTAAAATATCACCGTTCTTTGATTTTTGGCACTTACTATATCATGATGAGGTTATCCTAGTTATCCCATAAGAAAAGACTGTTCACAAATTACTATGAAAATAAGCCACAGTATACTTAGTAGAATAAATCTTTTAAAACATAGAATGAACATAAGTAGGGGAGCGGAATTGTGACTTATTATTCCCCAATACCTATAGTAGGGCCTGGTATATAGTAGGAACTAATAAATATTTGTTAAATAAATAAATTGGGTCCACAAAAGGAAAAAGAGCAAAATAGTTCTTGATGGTGAAAAAATTTGGAACCAGCTTGGCATGGTGGTACATGCCTGTAATCCCAGCTACTCAGGAGGCTGAGGCAGAAAATCGCTTGAACTCAGGAGGCGGAGGTTGCAGTGAGCCAAGATCGTGCCACTGCACTGCACTCCAGCCTAGGTGACAGAGTACGACTCTGTCCGCCCCCACAAAAAAAATTGGGAACCACCGTTGTTGTAGTTTGCCAAGGCTGCCATAACAAATGCTACAAACTAAGTGGCTTCAACAACAGAAGTGAATCATCTCCCAGTTCAGGAGGTTAGAAGTCTGAGATGGGGATGTTGGCGAGGCTAGTTCCTTCTGAAGGTTGTGAAGGAAGGACTGTTCCAGGTCCCTCTTCTATTTTCTGGTGGTTTGCTGACAATCTTTGGTATTTCTTGGCTTGTAGAAGCATCACCCGATCTCTGCATTTTTCTTCAAACGGCCTTCTCCCTGCGTCTGTGTTTCTGTCCAAATTTTCCCTTTTTATAAGGATACCAGTCATAAAGCATTAGGGGCCCACCCTACACCTGTATGAACTTAATTATTTACATCTGCAGCGACGCTGTTTCCAAATAAAGTCACACTCTGGGGTACTGGGGGGCTAGGATTTCAGCATATGAATTTGGGGATGGTGTGGGTGACGGGACCGGCAATTCAACCCGTAACAGTAGTCTAAACATTTCCTTGTACAGATGAGAAAACTGCGACCCAGAGAGGGGACAGGACTTGTGGGAAGTCACACATTTTTCTAGTGGGACGTAGCTTGACTCCTGACTCTCAGGCTGGCACTTTTACACTCCCACATTAACAGCCTAAGTTGCACCTGTGTGATAACTCAAACAGGAACCATTCATAAATGAGATTTGCTGTGGGACAAACTGCTCATCTAATCTAATTTACATAGTAGTGTTTTTAAATATAAACAAAAGCTCTGATATCTCTTATTTTTTTTATTTATTTATATTTTTTGAGACAGAGTCTCACTCTGTCACCCAGGCCGGAGTGCAGTGGCACGATCTCGGCTCACTGGAAGTTCCGCCTCCCGGGTTCATGCCATTCTCCTGCCTCAGCCTCCCAAGTAACTGGGACTACAGGCGCCCACCACCACGCCTGACTAATTTTTTGTATTTTTTAAATAGAGATGGGGTTTCACCGTGTTAGCCAGGATGGTCTCGATCTCCTGACCTCATGATCCACCCGCCTCAGCCTCCCAAAGTTCTGGGATTACAGGCGTGAGCCACCGTGCCCAGCCATATCTCTTTTTTATGCTGACTTACACACTCTACCAATATTTACTGTGAGCTCACGGAGGTAGACAGAGAACTTTAAAAATAAACTCAGAATCTGTACGAGAAGGAAAGAATCTAGCCAGCAGTCAGCCCTCTCAACAGAGCCCTAAAACCTCCTACCTGCAGTGCTACAAAAGAATTAGAGGCAAGTGGAGCCCATACAGAGCCGTTGCCATGGGAATGAAATGGTGTGTTAGGGGGTGTGGCCACTACAGAAAAACCATAGTAGCGGTTTCCTACCACTGTTGCCCTAAAGCATGTGTCTTGTGCTTCATTTTACTGAGCATATTCACAATCCCTACAATTTATACCATCCCCACTTCATAAGTGGAAAAACTGAGGCCAGGGAAAAATTCAGAGTCTGGTGAAGACTTCCCAAAGCCCCTTAAAGTCAGAAACTGATTCTCAAACTGAAAGAGCCCCAGTTTGGCACTTTAATTTTACTTGAGAAAACTGACAGCTACAATGGGAAGTGATTTGCCCCAAATTCCCTAGGTCAGTGATAGAATTAGAGAATGTATAGTTCCTAATTCTGTCTAGCGTTTTCTCCACCATCTTGTTGTAAACTTCTGTACTACTTGTAAGGCACGTTTTCTCCACCATATTGTTAAAAATTCTGTATTAACCCAGTGACGTGAAAAGTATACACCCAAAGACATGTTTTTGCAACCCCAAATTGCTTTACTTACCTGAAAAAACTTAAGTTTCTTGAAGTTTCCTTTTGGGTGGCTGGCTGTGGGATTGGATGGAACAACCATATTGAAACACCAACTGATACTTGCCAAGGCCTATACCTGAACAGCACTGTGTTTTTAAAACTAAGACATAAGGAAAATAGAAATAAGCTCCACTGTACAATCAACAAAACTCATATTAAAAGAGAGAGAGAGAGAGAGAAACTCTGGCTTCTTTGTAATGTAGGCTGTGATGTCTTTTAAAAAAAATTGGTAAAATATGTCCCCTGGTGAAAAAGCATAGTTCCACTTATAGAAAAAAAAATATCTAAGGGGTTATTATAGTTAAAACCTTCATTGTCAGCGCCGCCCTTCACCCCAGGAGATGAATTGGGTTTTACTCAAGGGTCTTCCTTACCTCACATCAACCTCTGGCCACCACTGCTGCCCTAAAGCATGTGTCTTGTGCTTCATTTTAAATAGCGTGTTCACAATCCCTACAATTTATACCATCTCCATTTCATTTCCAGAATGAAATGAAATACTGAAATACTAGAAATACTGAAACTAAGGGAAATTTCAGTCTAGTGAGGGCCTCACAATGCTCCTTGCTTCCTGATTCTTGAATGCCCTAAAATTTACGTCAGGCTACCTCTTCCAGCTCTGTCTGCCAGATAGCTAAGCTGGAATCTCTGAGCTGGTGAAGGGACTTGCCGGTGGAGTCAGGGAATGCTCAGGGTTCATGCCTCAGGACTGTTCTCACTAACTTGACCCACCTTTGGGGCGCTAGTGGAGCCCATGGGCCTTCCGGCAAACAGAAATAGGCACTGGGGGTCAGAAAATGGGCCCCACCGCCTGACCAGCGTGGTGCCAGCTCAGCCTAGGATCCCATGTCCCCTGGCACACCAGTGGTTTGCTACAACCAGAGGATCTCCTGCCTGTGAGGGGCGGCAGCGCTCCAGTTACCAACCCCCAGGTGAAAGATCCTGGATCAAGTGCTTTCCT